TGTTCTATAAACATAAATACTGATGGATCATTTGCTTCCTTCCTCTTTTCCCAAGAATTATTATGTAACTAAAAAACAACTGAGGTATAATCAGTCCCATCCCACTTGGAAAGAGTCACTTTTTTTCCCCTTAGACCTACTGAAAATGGGGCAGAAGTATTCAGACATTGTTTTATTAAGAATTTTATGTATTAAAAAGAAAGAACCCATTGTCCTAGATAGTTGAAAAATTGTTTAGGTGCATTGATCAATTGAAAGTTTATTACTAATTTAAGAAAATGACAGGGAGAACACTTTTGCTTTATTTAGTTAGTTAGTTAGGATTTATACTTTAGTTTCAAAACCTAACTAGAGGAAAATTGAGCAAGTATCATGAACTCCTAATTTATTAGACTGTGTATTATGACTCCTAATTTATTAGACTGTGTATTATGACTGTGTTTTTAATGTTCTTACAGAGGCATGCCAAGGCTGAGACAGAAAACAAATAATAATAGATAAATGAATACAAATTGAGTCCCTGCAATCAGCCATGCAATATCAGAGAAAAACAGCCTAGCTTGAATCAATTGGCTAAGAGATTTATCAAAATAATTATTGGGTTCGTTGGAATACACACAGTTACAGAGTCAAGGAGTAAAGGAGTAAAAATTTACCATATAGGTAAATGTTTAGAACTTGTAGATTTGTGGAATATGTTTTTTATACAGACATATATACATATATGTGTTTATATGCCAACCGCCTCCATCCTTCCCTGTTATGATAAAAGAGTAAATCCACAGAAGACCCCAGAAGCACACAGAAAACATGCATGGAGGTGTCGATTCTCGGAGAGTAGAGAGATTTAATAAATCCCAGTGTTCCCAATTTCTCTGCCCTTTGGGACAATAAGTGTCAAATCACCACTGTAAATTAGCTCAGTTCCTTCTGCCTGCTGATGAAGCTATTTTACTTCCTGTTCCCAGCCAGCCGCACATATCACCCTCCTCCTAGTCCCCTTCCTTCAGGGCCTTTCCATCATGCTAGGATAGCTAGTTTAGTTAGTTAATTCACTTGACAAATCAGTCACATGATTGGGTGGTGGGGAAAATGATTAAATTAGTTATTTGAATAAATCAGCCAGTCTTTTGGTAAACTATAAACATAGCTCTGGAGAGTTACAGCTTCGGAAAAACTAATGTTTGAGAACGACTTTTTAATCATTCTTTATGATTTTAGTCATTCTTTATAATGATTTGTGCTAGAAAAAAGTCCAGCTGTAACAGAGGGATGCCTGGAAGAAGGGGAGCAATGCTGGGGAGAGCAGACTAAAGACATCCTGTAGGGAGAAGACGTAGCTCTACCTTGCAGTTAAGATGAAGAGGGGTTCATAAAGCATGAAAGAGTCAATTTCTATAAAACTTTTATTCCATATAATTTTATATAACGTTCCCCGCATTCTTAGTGAGTATGAGAATTTGCATATGGAGTGCATACAGGGCAATGCATGAGTCAAAGGTGTCGTATTGTCATAGGGAATCAAAGCTACAGGAGGCTCAGTGGAACCATGCCTGGGCACAGCAATTCATCATGTCATGAGAATCATTACCTCTATTCAAATTTCCTCTATTCAAATTTCCTCTACACTTAAGCATTGATTTTACTCATTTAGAACTTGACATTAAGCTTTATGTCAGTGGTAGTCTAGTTATAAATTAATAATAATACCACTATATAACATTTCACAAAATATTTTCAGACCCAGAATTTAATTCTGTCCACCAAAAGTTAATCATTTATTTATTCAACAAGTATGCATTGAGTGATAACCACATACAAACCAGTACTTGAGGTGTTTAAGATATGTCAGATATATCATTATCAATAGACAATGACCCCTCCCCTCAGGATGCTTACATTCTATCCAGAAAAGGCAAAAGCAAAAATAAATAAGTAAATAAATAAAAATAAACCCAATAAATAGGATAACAATAAAATATATTAGAAGCTGATAAGTACTATATTGAAGAAAAGAGGCTCCACTGAGCCCAGTGAAGGGGAGTGGGAGGGTAAGCTCTGGGTGGGTTCTGGGGTAGGTCAGGTTGTATAGTTCTGAGAAGCTGGATTTGAGCAGGCTTAAAGAAAGAAAGGGAATGAATTAAAGAGGCATCTGGGAAAAGGAAATTGCAGGTAGAAGGCACAGCTGGCAGAAAGGCCCAATAGTAGGAAGTGCCTGGTGGTGTAAACCCAGCCAGGAGGCCAGAATAGATGGAGAAGAATAAAAGGGGAAGTAAGGGGAGGGAGTCAGAATCAGAGCAGGAACTTGTGCTCAGATCTTCTAGTGTCTGAGGGTTTGTTGTAAAGATTTTGGCTATAACTGTAAGTTGGATGGAAGGTAGCTGCAATGGTACTACGATCTTGGGTGCTAAAAGGATCAGTCTGGCTGCCACATTGAGAAAGGACACAGAAGTGGCCGAGGTAAAGCCAGGATTATTCTTAGGAAACTAATGTAATAACCCAGAGGGAGAGGATGGATGTTAAGACGATGGTTTTAGCAGCAGAGTGGTTAGGTTAGCTCTGGCTGAACTCTAGATATATGCTGAAGGTAGAGCCAACAGGGCTTAGTGATGGACTAGATATGAGAAAGTAAAATCAAGAAAGGAGTTAGCCAGATTGTTGGCCTGAGTAACTGAAAAAATGGAGTCTTTATCCACTGGAAAAGACTCTGTGTATTGTGTATGAGTGAGTGTGTGTGTGTGTGTGAGTGAGTGTGTGTATGTGTGTGGTGTGTGTGTGTGTGTGTGTGTGTGTGTATGGAATTGGGAAGGGAAGGAGTAGGGATTATAATAGGAGATGCACAAAGCTTTGTGAAACTTGGAATGCAAGGGATGAAGAAAGATTTAAGTTGGTTTAGTAACTAACATACATCATGATAAGATGCACATTGGGATAATAGGATTAAAGGGTGACAGTGGAGACTAGGACGTTAGCTTTCTTGGTAGGGAGGAGGCATTCTTGGGATTCCCTTTTCGCCCCTTGAAGAGGGTAGCAGGCCTGAGGCCATGAGGCTTCCTTGTCCTGGTGAATGGGTGGAGCCCCTAGGGGTGACATGATCTTAGACCAGTGACCCTGTCCCTCTTGATCCCTATGGGGAAGGGGTTCTACTGCTCTAAGTGTATGTTCTCTGTCATGACTCCTCTCATAATTGCTGGCCCTATAGTGACATGGACACTCAAGTGTTACAATAAGTTGCCATGCCTCATTTAAGCCCTGATCATGGGGAAGCATGAACTGAGACCCACTGCATGAGCCAGTCTACTTAGTTCATGAAAAGGCCTAGGGAATTCGTGGTATATAAAATATCAACAAGAGGGATGTAAGGGTACATTATTATTACCTCTGTTTCCAAAAGAGACAAAGAGGGGAATTGTTTGTTCATGATCAAACATACATGTATCAAATATGAATATACAGAAATCTTTGTGTAATACAAGGCCCCTTCAATAAAATATGTAGAGCCATCTGGAAATACAGTTTGATAAAATTTTGCTATTTCTAAAATTATTATACTCCATAATGTTCCTCCAAATGTAAAAAGTCTGAAAAGAAATATATTAACAAATATAGAAAGAAAGCTATATTAGTAACGTTATTGCAAAGTGTGTGAAAGATTTTAGTCAAAGAAATCTCTCTAGATGAGAAAAGCTCCTTAAAAGTCAAGGTAGAGTTAAAGTAGAGGATTAAAGTCTTGGTGGATTATTATCAGGATAAGGTTATCTAAATTTTCTATTAATTAATCATTATTTAGCATTTAAGCATTTTAGCACTTGGTTAGCAATTATTTATTAGACATAGATATAGAGAAAGACGGTAGCAGAGTTAGCTTTCATTAATTTTTAAGAATTTTGTTGGAAATGTACAGAATATACTTTTAAAATAAGTCAAATACTATTATCATTTCATCATTCTGGTCATTTTTACATTGTATTTAAGTAGTAAAGTTGAATTTAAACCAATCATATAAATCACAACCTTACTTATTTCCCAAAACATTGGGAGGTCAATATCATTGTTCCATGTACGGGAATCATACTAAGTAGCTGAGACTGAGAGAGAGAGGTTGCTTGTTTGAAGCCTTACAACTAGGTAATGACTAGGTCAAAGAACTAGTTGAATCAGAATTCTGAGAGATTTCTACTCTAAAAAATGTATCGATGCTGTACACCTGAAACTAACACAATACTGTAAATAAACTATGCTTCAATTAAAAAAAAATGTATCCAAAGATAAAGGAAACAGTTGTAAGGGATAAGGCATGAGACTCAGTGATATTAGAGTCAGAGGAATGAATTTCATCATTCTCAAAAACTGACCCCTGAGTGAAGAGGATTTAAAGGGTAATTGAATAGTCATAGGAATCATGAATATATAAAGGGATGGTTCTGAATATATTAATCTAGAAGGAAATGGAAGGTTAAACAATAAGAGGTATAAAGCAAGAAAAGAAGAAAGAAGCAATAAAGAGCAAAAGTGAGAGAGACAGAGACAGAAAGATGCAGAGGCAGAGAGACAGAGAAAGAGGAGAGAATAAGAGAAGGAAAATAAGGAGGAGGAAAAAGAATTACGGAGCTGATGCTAGAACAATATTGGACTGTTCTGAACCAATTTAAGAATTGCCATTTCTAATTCTTAATATATGGAAGATTGGAATGAAGAGATATTAAAAGGAATGAGACATTAAAATAAATGTATAGATATCTTTGTTTAATATGAGGTCCATTCATTTGAAGAAAACACATCAAGAAAGTATGTGGAGCCATTTGGGAAAAGAGTGGTAAGACTGCTCCATTTCTAAAATTACTATTCTATACAATCCTTGTCCAAACACAAATATTTTATATTTTCTCTTTTGCCCCTATGGGAAAATGTCCATAGTGACAAGGAATGAAGTGCTGACCTAAATGGGGACATCTGTTGAGCCTTCAAATATGTATACCCTCCATTCTACTCCAGGAAACTTTGCTAGGCTTGGGGTGTATCTTAACAACAGAATTTTAGGAAGGATCGTCTCTAATGTTAGAAGCAGGGTGAAAATGACCCCTGGATGCCCAATTTTCTAACTCCACTTCTGTCGTAGGTGGTAAGATAAGAGGAGTCGTGTCACAAATGAAAAAATAAGGTCGAAGAAAACCAGAGAAAAGGTGATTGAACGTGTAAATATAAGACCCATCTGTGATGTTGTAAAAGGAGATTTCACCTGCTTCATAGTCCAAGAAAATCCCAATGCAGCGAGGCCGTTCCAGGTGGGGGAGAGGAAGTGATGGAGAGGCAAGGACCATGTACTCACTCCCTTTCAGTAGCCACATGGCCCAGACTCCGTTCTCAGGAGATGGTGTGGTTTCCCCCTTTCTTAACACTGTGTCTTGACAGACACCTAACCCCCATTCTGCTCTTTCTCCCACCATGACTTCCCAGTAATGCCTCCCTGATGAGAAGTTCTGCAAACCCAGGATACAAGGCCATGTGTCAAATCGCTCAGGGTTGTTGGGGACATCCCTCCATAGTTCTCCATCCTGCACACTGCGCAGGTCAGCAGTCAAGAGGAGGCTAGGATGTGCTGTGGCGGGATCCAGTTTCATGTCAACTGCAGAAAGAATTTTGTGGAACATGTAAAAGAACAGAAAAGACTGGTGAGAACTTAGGAAGCCATGATATTGAGAACTGTCACGCCATTCCTCACTCTCCCTCTAATAACTCCTGGAGATAACAAAATATGTATTTCACCTTGCAGGTCGATGAGTATATGCTTCATTGCTTTTGAGTGTATTCCACTGCTATGTCTGCATAATCCAGGACTCATTACTGCCCCAGTTCAAACATAACCATTGATGATAAGACAAACCATGTGCATAACCATTTAGATTCCTTTTATCTCTATCCAGAGCACTTTGGAAGATCTTTGGTGCTCTTTGGAAGATCTGCATTTAAAATAAAATTTACAGCTCCCTTGGGATTTGTCTTCTCCTCAAAGCCTACAGGAAAAATTCATTGGTATAAAATCCACCACTTTCAAAGCTATGTTACTATGGTAGGAAGAATTCTAAGATGAGCCTCATGAACTTCAGACCCTGGTGGTACTCTCATGATTCTGTTATATTATGTGACAAGAGGGCGATTATCTGAGTGGGTCTAATAAAATCACCTTTTAAAATCAGAGAGGTTTCTTTGGCTATCAGGCTGCCACCAGAAGTGAAAATCAGAGAGATTTGGATTTGATGTGTCATTGCTGCCTTTGAAGATGGAGTGGGCCACAGCTGAGGAGAAGGGTGAGTGACCTCCAACTGATAACCAGCAAGGAGATAGAAATCTCAGTCCCACAACTGCAAGGAACTGCTTTACATCAACAAACTGAATAAGCTTGCAAGTGGACTCTTCCCTGGATCCTTTAGAGAAGCCCAGCCTGGTCAACACCTTGATTTTTGATCTTATGAAATCTTAAGCAGAGATGCCAGCTGATCCCATGTGGTTATCTGGTCTGAAGAACTGTGAGCCAATAAATGGATGTGGTTTTGGGTAGCTAAGTTTGTGGTAATTTGCTATGCAGCAATAGAAAACTACTACTGATACTGTGAAGTCCCAATGAGATTGATATGAAATTTTATTTGTACATATAATTAATAAATACATCTACAAATGAAATGACCTCAGTGAAGAAGGGAGGATGTAAAATATTCAGTGTCTTTTTTTTTGGTAAACATTCAAAAATAGTAAATTTCATTAGTCATATTTTAATTTTTAATATACTAATAACAAATACTAATATGCTGACTGTTATTCTTATTTGTCTCTAAGCCACTTCTAGCTATCTTTTATTGATACTCAAATCTGAATGGGTCACATAAGTAGTACGTCATCTATGCTATCCCATGGAACCCCACCCTCAAGGATGCCACTATCATCCTCGTATTGTAGATGAGGAGACTCAGAGTCCAAGAGATTATGTGATTTTCCCAAATTATATGATTTTCCTATCATAAATAATGGGAATTGAAAAGTGGGTCTCCGTGGAATTGTGTTAGGCCTATTTAACAGATGTCGTGTCATCATGCATCATTCCCACTCCAGCACACTTATTTGCTCCATTTATAAGAAAATAAATCTGTGAAATAGTTGTTAATACATCTATCTCCAGTTGCTCTCCCTACTTCTTCTTTCTTAAACTCAGTTGCTCACCAAGATAGAATAATATCTTAAGCAAACTACTCCTTCGTCCCAGTGCCCCATGCATTGATAAATGATCAGTCCTTAAAGTTCACCTTAAATGACTTTTCTGTAGCACTCAACACTGTTGAGAATCCTTTTGTCCTGGGAAACTTCACTTCTCTTTCCCAAAGACACCAGTCATCATGCTTTCCCTCCCTCTCCACTGGCCTCTCCTTCTTGGTCTCCTTTGCTGTTTTCTCCTCTTTTCCTCCATCACTGCTATTCGAGAAGCCAATGGTCTCAGGATTGGGACCTCTTGCCTCTTTCTCAGATCACTTCTGATGTGTTCTGGGGCTGGCAGGCACATTGCATTCATTAAATTCCATTCATATGCTTACTAATTCCAAATATATGTATCTAGCCTAGACTTTTCTCCTGGAACTCCATATTTGTAAATTCATTTGTGTACCTGACATCAACATTTGGATATGTAACATTCATCACAGCATTGATGTGTCTAAAACCCATTTCCCCTTTTCTGCCTCACCTGCAGCTTTACCTGTCAATGTAAACAGCAATTTCATTACCCAATTCTGGAGACTTAAACCTTGGAATCATTCACGACTTTTCTCCTCTGACACCTCATATCTAATCCAACAGCAGATCTTGCCAGCTTTGCCTTCAAAACACCAAGATTCTGTCCATTTCTCTGCACCTCCAGTACTACTACCCTTGTCCAATGGACAATCGTCTCTGATTGGATTATTACAAAGGATCCTAACTGGCTTTCCCACATCAAGACTTTCCCCTCTGTAATTTATTCTCAATAAAGCACACAGAGTGATCGCCATAAAACATTAATCCAATCATCCTATTCCTCCATTTACAGCTTTTAACTGACGTTCTATTTTACTTGGAGGTAAAGCATTGCTCACAGTGGCCTGCCTGTTGGGTCCTGTGCTATTTGGACTTTTCTTGGCCTCCCCAGCTCTCCCCTCACTCACTCCACCACAGCCGCACAGAACTCCTCATAGCTCCTGGAATGCATCTTCCATATTTCCATCTCAGGCCTTGGCACTCATTTCTGATGCCTGGAATGCTTTCCTCCAGATCAGATATTTGCTGAGCTATCCCCTACTGAGTGACGTCTTCCTTGATGATCAAATTCCAAATTAGATGCCCTAACCCCAGAACTTCTGGCCACCCTTTATTCTCTTTTTCAATATTCTGTATCATCTTCTAACATTCTGTGTAATTTGCATAATTTAAGCAAATATATGCAACATGAAGCTGTAGATTTGTAAGTTGATGTTATTGTTCAATTTTATATTCTAATGTTTAGAAGAGTAGCTGTCATAAAATACACATTTGTGGAACTGATTAGTTAATTCAGTAAAAATAATTGGGAACATGGAGACACTGATTATGAGAGTGTAGTAACTTGCAACATTTCATGCAGTTAGTACATATTACTTTGTCCATCAGAACATTGATTAAATCATTGAACAGGACTGATAAGATGGGTTTTTTCATCATGGGACAAAGTGGTTTCCCTGTAAGTAATAAAGCCACTATTGAGCCACTGTCTGTTTTCATTACTTGGTATAAATTGAATATAAAAAAGAAATGAAAAGTATTGAACCGTTACTGTTTTAAAAAACAACATAGGGCTTCCCTGGTGGCACAGTGGTTGAGAGTCCGCCTGCCGATGCAGGGGACACGGGTTCACGCCCTGGTCCGGGAAGATCCCACATGTTGTGGAGCGGCTGGGCCTGTGAGCCATGGCCGCTGATCCTGCGCGTCCGGAGCCTGTGCTCCGAAACGGGAGAGGCCACAACAGTGAGAGGCCTGCGTACTGAAAAAAACAAAAAACAAAAAAACAAAAAAACAAAAAAAACATAATAGGACCAAACAAACTAATTATAACACCACAGAGCCTACAGAGAGTACTTAAATATAATTGACTGAATATTTTTGGCTTTATTAACTATCTAATTTAAGAAATTCATCAAACTTCCAGATAATAAAATAATCCAAACCTTATATTATTTGATACACTGCAATGCTTTCATATATTGATGATTTTTTGTTTTCAAATATGTTTCATTTTGTCCTCCAAACAATACAATTTTTTAGCATTTTATAAACAAGGAAATGGAGATTGATTAGAACTAATGTTACTTATATCACAGCTAATATCACTTTCAAGCCCACCATTCTAACCAAATGTAGCTTATATGTGTGTCAGTGACTCTGATATTCTTTCAGACTATTCAGAAGTATCCCAACATTCTTTTTTTTTTTTTTTTTTTATTCTGAGCACGGTGCTCTCTCCCTTCCTCCCTTATAGCTGGGCATAAACGTGTGACTCACTTCTATCAATAAAATCTTCAGGAAAGCCATGTGTGCCACTTCGGAGTAGTGCATGATTCATCATAATTTTTCCCTTTCAGCAACAGGAAGGAGGTGGGGCTCTGTCTGCACGGGTCCCCAGAGTGAGATTATGTGAAATTAAAGCCTCCACAATCTAGTAATCAACCTAAAACATGATTTCGAAATAAAACCTTTCTGATTTTAGCCACTAAACTTTGGGTTCTGTTTGCTACTATAGCCTGACTGGCACAGTAACAAATTGCAATAAGAGTCATAGTTCCTCGAGCTCTAAAATGCAGCCTACCTTGGAACTTTCTCAACATTTCCCTCATCCCAGGGATGCGACACATTGTCTTCAGCTCCATGGGGATGGTCTCCAGATCCAGCCGTGTGACACTCTTACTTCTGAGAAGAGCGCAGAACCCACAGTTCTCAGTAGGGTTATCCACCAACCTCCCCAGCCTCTCCCAACCCATTCTTTGATTCAGAAAGTAAACATACCGGCTCAAGGCTCCTCCCACACCCTGAAAGTGAAAGAGAAACAAGTAGGTGTGAGTTAGACCTCTGAACTGCTTTTGACAGACTGGGGACACACCATGAACATCTCTTTAGGAATTATTGGAAATCATTAACTATTATGGTAAAACTATAAGAAACATGACCCTCTCTTAATAAAAGCTAAAAACAGGCTGTTGTTGAGTTTTCTCATGAACTTAAAATAATATAATCAGTTTGCCTCTATTAAAATAAAATCAGACCACACAAAGTTTAGGTTAATTCTTATAATATCTATTGGTTTAACTATTTTCTGAATTGATAATTCTGACATTTGGATATTTTAGTAAAGAGTTACATTCTGTGAATGCAATTAGGGTAAAAACAGATTCTAAGTATCTTCAGAATTTATTTGAGTAACAGTGAAAGGTTAGACATAAAATGTTCCTCTCAATGTCCTTTTAAGAAAACCCTAAATTCCTCATTCTTTGAACCAACATACCATGTCTAAATTACCTAAGTGGATAAAAATAGAAGTCATTAATATCTAGCAACATTTTATATCAAAGTAGATTATTAAATAAATCACCTGCATTGCATTTCCCCTCTCCCTCTAAAAAATAGCCACCTGTCAGATTAATTTTGACAGGGCATAAAAACAGGGAAATGATTAGCTTTACTTTTCATCAGAATGACAGGCCTTGTTTTTGGCCATTGCAGGTGAAATATAGCTTACTGGTACTGAGAAAGAAAGGGAAAAGAGGGTATAAAAATGAAACTAAATTATTTGAGAATATATTCTCCCTAAGGTTTATAAGACATTTTAACATTTCTTCAGTGCTAATAAATGATAACTATATATACATTGTGTTTTGAGATATGGTAAGATGAGACAATGAATATTATTGAAAATGCCAGAGTTCTTGTGTTTATTTACTGTATGAAATTTAGAAAATTTATTCCTTTCTGACAGTTTGCTCACTAGGAAGTGGGCATAGCAATACTAATAAAAATAATAATAACAATACTAATAACAACAACACAAGTTTTACTGATATATAGATATATTGAAGACAAAATGGGACAAATTAAATTAAAATGTTTTGTAAATGCATTCATTCAATGACCCCCCACTCTGTAACCAGTGCTATTTATCACAGTACTTGTATGAGGATAGGAATTACTTAGTTCAGAAATCCCTAAATGAGGCACTGGGGATGAGATACAATGAAGCGTTCCCAGAAAATTTTTATTGCAATGAGTTCTATCATGATAGCATGCATCCAGGAACAACGATGACTTTCTCAATTCACTTGGGATTTAATGCCTTCAAAGAGGATTAAAAGGAAATATTTCCTTTTCCCCGTTATTTGTCTCTTTGCTCTATAATCTCAAATATAGCGCGGGCAAGCTGCATGGAGCCCAGGCAATCTCTCCCTACCACACCTGGAATAGTCATGCAATATGGGCTAGAAAATTAGCATTTGTCTTAAAAATTAACATGCAAATTTCAAGGTGGACAATTTAAAATATTACTCATACTTTTGGCTATTGACATTTAAATGGGCTAACAAGACTTTTTTGGATTGGCCATCACTGAAATACAGTAATATCATCACTGGTCGATTCTGAGGTTATAGATTGTGCTTCTTCTCTTTAGTCATATGTAAGTCATTAAATTGATTTTGGTTTTAAAAATATTTAAGTTTTATCTTTAGTATGAACTATTTTATATGATTCTCTAGGGTCCCTTCAGATTCTGATGCTAGGATTAAGAATTAAGATGCTTTCCAAGTAAATTCTAGGGTGCCCTTTCCCTAAAGATCATAAATGCTCAAGCTGTTTGTCTCCGAAAGCTGCTATTTGTCCCCTTGTTCTCAAGTCTGCCCATCCCTCCCCTCCCAGGCACCCAGCCCCACCTCCAGCAGACCCAGGGCTGGGCGCTGGCACCTCTCCTCCAGCTCCTCTGCCAGATCCTTCAAGGCCCTGCTCTGCTGACCCAGCCGGTTGTTGCTCTCCCGCAATCTCTGCAGGGTGGCTCGCTCCTCCTCCTCCAGTCTTCTAAGCTGCAGTTGCTCCTCCAGGGCTAGTAAACCACGATACTTTTCAAACTCCAGCCTGAAGCGTTGCCTCTGCGTTTCCACTTTCTCCTGGAGTGACACAGTGCATCGAATGATCAGCAGTTGGGACAGAGCGTTTGGCTTCCACCTTCACGGATGGGATGACGAAGCTGGAGAAGGCAAGGTCTGGAGTGATCTCATCTTCATAACTCTATGAATGGACCCACTGCATTTTAACAACATGCAGAAGCTAGAGACTACTCATGAGAAGTGACCTGATAGAGTTTTCAAACTTAGAGTTTGAGAAATACTGTTGGATTTGGGATTCCATTTCCATGGACTTGAGGACAAGGCACTTTCATATTCAAGTTTCAGTACCATATATAAAATGGGGGAAAAGAAGGGTCTGGGGAATTAGAATTAAATATCAAACTGTTGAGCACAGTGAATAACATAGAGTATTTGCTCAATAGAAGTTAAAATTTACTATTAGTCACTGGAATGAGAACTGTGTGGAAATAACTGAATTATGAAGAGAGATTAGAGAGACCTGGATTTGTAAATGTGAATAAGAAAATGTTTATAGAGATTAGAAAATATTCCTCAATAATGTGGTAATCATAAAACTATAAGGCTAACATTTTCTGCAGAGCCAAGAAAGAAATGTTATTCTCAGGTCACTTATTGCAAAGGTTCAGGGAATTCATCTTGATTTCTACCCAAATCTCACCTCTATAATTTTTTAACAGACCTAAGGAACACATTTCGATACAGCATTAATATATCTAAATTTTATTCTCTGGAGACTGGTGGGTGGAAAAGTAGCTTTAAACTAAGAATAAGAGGCAAATTGCCCTCCCATAGTCTCTCCACATTTTGAATTCTCTGGTCCATTATTAAACATTATACCATTTTGGTTCAATTTAAGAACACAAGCTAGTGCCTTTAAAAGAATTCTAATAACGATTTTCCTCAAATTTCATAAGACTCAACTCTTTCCTCCAATTTCCCATTTCTACCTCCTTCTGCCACTTTCTAAACAACTAGATTCATATAATTCTGACCTCTTTAAAGTCAACCAACTGTGAATTCCATATTCTGATCTGAAAGGTACAACTCATTGAATTTCTCCCCCATTCTCCATGTTGGAGGCTGTGCTATTGAGGAGTGGTGCTAATAACTCAGTCATTGAAAAACAGTGGAATTATATTTGGGTCATAAGAGATAACATGGTCCAGAGGGTTTTAGTTGCAATTCACTGTTCTCTCATATCATCTTTCTGAGTACTACAATTATATCTACAGATACAGAAAGGCTAAGGGCTTTCACAGAATTTAGAGTTTATTTTATTAAGCGCATGCTTGTTGCTTTTGGCTCACATAGATACATTCTCAAAGGTAAAAATCATGCTAGTTTATTTGGCCTAGGACAGGGATCTTAGAATCATTTCTACTTTAGAATAATCAGCAGAGGGTTCAAAAAATGAAGGAACCCATATCTCAGATATGGAATTTCTGATTTTGTAAATCTGTGGTCAGGTCAGGATTAAAAACAATTGTCTTGGATTGTTAGCATAAAAAGAATAAAAATTATCAACAAACATCACTATCAATGAACTTTACATATAATATACATAACTATGGGAAAAGATAAGACTTATCACAGAAGAAAAATATAGCAAAAATAATCCTTATGAAAATATTGTCAGAAAACAGAGCACAAGACAAAATTTTTGAGAAAAGAAGAAAGAAAGAATTATAAAAATAAAAGGGTTCCTTGGAGAAGGACAGAGAAGAGAAATATTCTATAAAATAGATTCTATATATATTATAATACATATTATACAAATAAAAACACCTATGTAATTTCCATATACAGCTTCTCAATATTGACCCTATTGACATTAGACTAGGTGATTCTTTGCTGTGATTTCTTTTGGGGAAAGGTGACTGTCCTGTGCATTAGGGTGTCTAGCAGCATTTCTGGCCTCTGCACATGAGTTGCTAGTAGAGCACCCACCCTCTCCCAGTTGTGACAACCAAAAACATCTACAGATATTACAAAATATCTCTTGGAAGGCAACACTGTGCCAGGTTCAGAATCACTCTGTGTATGTTTGTGTGTGTGTATGTATAAATAAGTAAGAGAAAAAAAGAGCTCATGAGGGGCTTCCCTGGTGGTGCAGCGGTTAAGAATCCACCTGCCAATGCAGGAGACATGGGTTTGAGCCCTGGTCCGGGAAGATCTCACATGCCATGGAGCAACTAAGCCCATGCGCCGCAACTACTGAGCCTGTGCTCTAGAGCCCACGAGCCACAACTACTGAGCCTGTGTGCCACGACTACTGAGGCTTGCATGCCTAGAGCCCATGCTCCGCAAAGAGAAGCCACCGCAATGAGAAGCCCGCACACTGCAACAAAGAGTAGCCTCCACTTGCCACAACTAGAGCTGTGCCCATGCACAGCAACAAAGACCCAACACAGCCATAAATAAATAAATAAATAAATAAATAAATAAATAAATAAATAAATAAATAGAGAGCTGATGAGGTATAATAAAGAGAAAACATATTTATGGATGACTGAAAAAGACTGAAAATTCAGACTGTCTTTCTATATGTAAGATGATGACTATTAACCTGTATTTCATATATATAAGTGATGTGAAATATTTACTATTCCATTCATCTAACAAATATATATTTTTTAAACTAGTACTGACAGTACAAAACTCTGTTCTAGGTGATGCAGTGAGTTAAGATGAGTAAAATCAAGTGAGTGAGTAAGATCAAGATCAGTAAAGTTTATTTACAATTTGGATTGGGGTCATATTAACAGAGATAAAAAGAACACAACTGTACAATATAATTTGAGGGGATGAGGTGATCCAGGGTGAAACTGAGATTTTTTTCTTGAGTATCTATGTAGATGGAACAAAAGTGCTGGAGTGCTGGGGGAAGAATGATTTAGTGACCCAAATTGATCCAAATAGGCTAGCCTCCTGAACCCCAATATTCTCTCACCTTCCAAATGACAGTTTTCCTTCCCACACTGGCCTCCTGAGTCAAGGCTTCCTCCATCTCTTTCCTCACATGTTCCTGGGCCATCTGGAGCTTTACCTGTTTGGGAAGATATGCTGCAGCCGTTACAAGTACCCTCATTCAGTACTTAATATTGACTGGGTATGGGGGGAAATAACAAAGGTCAGCTAAAACAGGCCCTAGAAAACATATAAAAATGTTCGACCTCATTAATAACTGTTAAACATAAATATGTTTTTAAATGTTGATGCCAGATGGAATCAAAGATGTATCTAAAAGTGTGTTCATTGTATTTTAAATAGTAAAACTGTAATTAACCAAAGTGTTAAAAATACAGGAGTGAGAAAATTTTACTTTCACAGGATGGAATTAAAATAAGGCGTTGCAGAATATTTAATGACAAGAAATACAAGTATAAAGGAAATTAAAATAAGCATACTTCATGCAACTTTGCACCAAGTTTGAAAAATAAAAATGCTTATGATGAATATATAAAAACTAGGCAGAGACCAATGAAAATATATTCAATAAACAAAATCTCATATACTAATTCCTGGTTGAAAAGTGATGTTATTCCTTATATCTATATATTTCAACTGCTTACAGTTATTTATTACTTTATAATCAGAAGTGTATTTATTATATTTGGCAGAAGAAAACTTGTAAGTTAATATTTACTAAATGAAAAAGAAATACAGAAGGTCATAAATCTTACAAGGGGTAGAAAAATAATTTAATGAAAAGTAAATCTCTTTCAACCCTAGGACCCCTGCTAGAGGTAAACACATGTATTTTATTCATAGAGAACACACACAAAGATAGACACATACACACATTTTAAAACTCTTCTCAAAGTCATTCAATAAGTCTCAGAAAAAAACAAAACAAAAACTAGCAAACAAAAAATGAAATTCTTCCCAAAGTCACTGAACAAGTCCTACACATCGAGGTTGTTCTTTTTTAAAGATAATATTCCAAGGTAGAGCACATAAAATAGCAGTAGAATCCATGGAGACATTTAAAAAGATGAAGAAAGTAGCAATTTTTTTAGTGTTTAGAAGGAATAGAATACTTCAATACTTATGGACAAAAGAAATTGTAAGCAAAAGCAAGGAGGTAAAAACCTGTGGCATGTTTGGGGACAACAGTGATTAGGCTAGTTTTGCTGGATTGAATGATTGGTTTAGACAAGAGCTATAGTAAGAAAACTTAGGGCCTTAGAATGTCTTGATTGATAGGCTAAGGAGTTTAGAAGATATTTATTTGGTATTTAGTTGAAGAGCTACTGAAATAGAGAAAACTTCCTTAGAAATATGACATTATCCATGCAATATATAGTACCTTATGGATTAAAAGAAAAAAAGGCAGGAATATATTTCAAAAGTCTAGCTAGAAAGTAGCTAGCAACCGAATTTTGCAGAAGACAACCAAAATCAAGAAGAAACACTAAGAAAGATATTTCTTGGTAGGTCCAGAGGGAAGTTGAGGGGAAAAAAAATCACAAACCTTGATTTAGAACAATCAAAATTAAAATAATAATTATTATAATTATTACTAATTATTTTGTTATTATAAATTATAGTACACAATATAAATATACAAAATATTATAAATCATACATTATTAATAATAATTTGTTAATTAAATTAATTATTCTTATTATTTTAGAAAGTTGATATTTGCACTTCATTTCATTGTGATAGTACTTCAGGTAAAGGTCGGCAGATTAAAGATGACTTTAACCTCCTTTGTGCTAGCAGCTGTTCCAGATATTGAGAATTTAAATGTGTTCAGAATATGTCCAAAAACTTTTGATGAGCACCAGCAGGGAGAATCTTATTCATAGGGTTTCACAGATGCCACTTTTGTGGGCCAGGTACTCCAATATGAGTCACCTTTTCATTGAGGATGCTCACATCATAAGTCCACAAATATGTGTTGACTAGAGAAGGGCCTGTGTGCTTAGCTACTGGATTTCTCCTTCAGAGTAACATGCATTGGCAGGCTCTAAAGGTGATCAGAGCCCTGTGCCCATCCAGACACTATTCTTAGCAAATGTTCCAACATGAAGGTTGCTTTATGCACCCCAATGTTCACTGCAGCACTTTTACAATAGCCAAGACATGGAAACAACCTAAATGTCCATTGACAGATGAACGGATAAAGAAGATGTGGTACATATATACAATGGGATATTAGCCATAAAAAAGAATGAAACAATGCCATTTACAGCAACATGGATAGGCCTAGAGGTTATCATACTAAGTGAAGTAAGTCAGACAGAGAAAGACAAATATCATATGATATCACTTATATGTGGAATCTAAAAAAAATGATACAAATGAACGTATTTACAAAACAGAAATAGGCTCACAGACTTCAAAAACAAATTTATGGTTACCAAAGTGGGAAAGGGCGGGGGAGGGATAAATTAGGAGTTTGGGATTAACATATACACACTACTACATATAAAATAGATAATCAACAAGGACCTACTGCATAGCACAGGGAACTCTACTCAATATTCTGTAATAACCTATATCGGAAAAGAATCTGAAAAAGAAGGGATATATGTATATATGTAACTGAATCACTTTGCTGTACACCTGAAACTAACACAACATTGTAAATCAACCATACTCCAAAATAAAATAAAAATTTTTTTAAAAATGAAGGTTGTTTTGGTGACAATATTAATTAACATAGAGATAAACACTATGCAAAAGCAAGACATTATACAAATGATAGTTATTCGGAAGTGTTTCCAATAACTACGTGCACCTGTAAATAAGAGCCCATTGGACAACACAGCCCTCTACACCAGAGCTCTAGCTGTGGAACCCAGATTATCAACATCAGGAAAATTAAGACCAGCATGAAATTAAATGTCCAGGGAGAATTTCATGGGAGAGGAGGGCAACCTAAAATAATGGTATGTCTTGAGCTCCTGAACAGGGGTCCCAAAAGGTGGGGTGTGCACGGAGCAAAGGCATGGAGACCTCAAGATGAATGTGAGACAGGAGGGTGGTTGGTGCGGAGGGCACAGGTCATTCAGATCAGGTGGTAGCATTTGGCTCTGTCCCTAGCAAGGCACTCTTCACACCTCTGACTCAGTCGGCTCCTCTGTTACAGATCAGCATTTCCAGACCCAGGAATCATGGCCCTCCACGTGCCGTGGTAACACCTCTCACCTGGTAGCACCTGGCGGCCTCCTGCAGCGGTGTTGTGCGGTGGCTCCTGTGCTCTGGGGTGGTGTCACAGACCCAGCACAGAGCCTCCTGGTCCTCCTCACAGAAGCGGCTCAGCTCCTCGCCGTGCCTCACACACAGGCGCGCCCCCGAGGGCCCCGCGCCGAGCCCCAGCTGCCGCACGCTGTCCACCAGGCTGGCCAGCTGCCTGTTGGGGCGGAAGCTCTCCAGCCTGAAGGGACTCCGGCACTGCGGACAGGCATAGAGGCCGCTCTGTGCACTGTCGCACTTCTCGCAGAACTCGGAGATGCATCTGAGGCAGAAGCTGTGGCCGCAGTCCACACTGACCGGTTTCTGCAGGAAATCCAGGCATACTGGGCACCTAGCCTCCTCGCACAGCCGCTCCCCGGGCCCCCCCGAGGCCATGGCCGGCCGGGCCTTGCCCGGCCCTGCTGATAGCAGAGCCGCCTTCCCCAGCGGCCTGCGCTATCTCCCCTGGTGGTCTGGCACAGAAGGGAGGAACCCCACAGCACGAGAAACAGACCCAAGATGGGTTTTATCCGCTGGCTAGAGTCCAAATGAGCTACTCCCAGGGAAAAGTTGTAACTCAGGCACCCTCAACCACAAGGATAAAATTAACATTCTAGTTACCCTAGCCTCCTAGGAAACTGATCATTTCTAACGGAATCCCTCATAGTATACCTTATTGGAACCCGAATTCTCATGTTTTCACTGTCAGTAAATTTGGAGAATTGCTTAGCTCCTTCCTTCCATTATTTTCTAACTACCCCATGACCTTCTTATCCTCATATGGCATAACGATTTCTTAAAGTTTTCTTTTTTTTCCAAACTTTATTTTTTCTACCTCCTGTTAATTAGCCCATGATAAAAAATTTGGGTACGTGGGTTGATAGGGAGATCCAAAAAAAATGTGTGTATAATAATGATGGGTCTATAGCCCAACAACAATGCAAAGCATTTAAATAAATACCTGGCCCAGTTCAGTGAGTCCTATAATGACTGCACACATGTTGTGATTGTTGCAAAGCACATCTTGGAGGTGGCAAAGCTGTAGGTTAAGGCACTGGTTATAAGAAATATTTCAAGCATATGTGGCACCTGTGAGGTGGCGAAGGCTGAGAAAGATATAGAAGAAGAGAGATGATTTGACAGAAAGGATGTGATCCCTACTTGGGATAAATATGGTGAGGTCATTAGGTCAGCCAGAAAGTAGACAAATGTGGAAAGTGTCTGTCATCTGCACAAAATGTAATTTTCATTTTGTTGAGTTTGAAGCAATGATGCGCATGGCATGCCTGTAGCAAATCCTTCAATTCTTCAATATGTGTTCCTCAGCACAAACTGCAAGTCTCAGACACAAGGGTAAGCAAAAGACAAATGACCCAGCTCTCAAGGGAACCTTAAGATGCATCAGGAGAACTCATAAAAGTATAAACTAATACCTGGGAGAAAGGACACTCACCAGTGCTGCAAGAATATAACAGGGCTTTGAACTAGCCTGTGGGGTTGGAGTTTGGCCCTTGGGAGTCTCTGAGTTAATAACTGAAGGGTGACTACAGGCTGAGCATAGGAAGGGGACTCTATCAAGCAGAACAGTCAGAGGGCACAGGGTACACAAGATGAACTGCTGCTGGAGGGAGCAGGTTTGCCCCAGGACATGAGGCAGCCAAGCAGGCTGGTATGTGTTCAAGGTGAGGATGAGTGGCAGTAGATAAGGTCCCTCCCAGGTCCCTGGGAGGCAGGGACAGATGACTCAGGTCCTTGCAGCTCCTGTGTGGTTTGTGGGTCCTTATTCTAAGGCCCAGGGCTTGGCCTGGAGCTTTGGTGGAGGGCAGGGTCTAAAGGGTTTTGAAGTTGTCTACCCAAAGGTTAGGTGGATAATTAAAACAGAGAGATTCTTTGAGAACAAGAAGAGACAGTTATGAGCAGAACATCAAAGATGTGAATTTAGAAAAAGGAAAAGGGCAAAAGTCTCAACAATAGAAAAGCAGACCCTGGTGTCAGGCTGAAGACTGTGCCACTTGCTAGATAAGGGGCTTTAGACAAGTTTCTGTACCAAACTTCCTTTAAAATATGAGGACATTGTTAGTGCCACTCCTACAGGGCTGTTCAGAGGATTGAATAAGATAATAGATGTCACACATTTGATACAGGTTCTGGCATGTAGTATTTATATTTAATTAAAGAAAAAGAGAAGAAATAGCAAAATAAATGGATAATTAGAATGTAAGCAGGAGACTTTTTTTTTTCTATTTTCTTCAATATTATACCCCTAGTAACTTGAAGAGTAACTGACACATAAGACACCCAATGAATACTGGTTGAATAAATGAGTGTGGGAGTGAATGAACAGAACCAGTACCGTTTATCCTAGAAGCCAATGGAGGATAAAATTTCAGTGACTATGTCAAATGTGAGATCCATATTTTTCTACATTTTACATATATGATTTTGACTTACATTGCTGTGACTCTCGAAGATGCTAGAACACGTTTCTATGTTATTTGGAGACGTAATAAAGCATCATATTGCTCAAATGTATAGAGGAATGAATAGCTCAGCTCATTTGAATGCAGATTTCCGAATGCCTACAAGGCTAAGGGAAGGTCACTGACCTTGGATGTGGGGGTCAAAGTGGTTTTCAGGAGGGTGAGATGGAGTGGGTGAGCTGACCTCAGATGGCACTTCTTCCCTGACTGGTTCTAGGGTCACTGAATTTAAGCCTGGCTTTATCTCTAGCATTGGGAGGCTAGGAATGACCTCTGTACCATTGTTCTTAAAAAAACAAATTTTCCTTACAGCGCATTTGTGCAGGTAAGTAGTGGACTGGATTATAAGTAGATGTCACTGTATTTACAAATGCTATGTGAAATGCCTTCCTGAGCACTTTCTTGTTTAATAGGATTGGTCCAAATTACATTTGTGTTTTCTCATGATCATTCTTCTGGGGTGAATAAAACACATCTTAACCACATTTTGGTGCACCCACTCCTGGATCCTTACCCTGACTCCTTTCTCTGATTCATTTGCAGAGTGCAGCGTTCTAAATCTTTTAGTTAATATCCTCACCCCTTGCCATCATCCTTCTCTAATACTCCACTTCACGTGTGTTCTGCCTTCTCTGACAATACAGGATTCTCCTCTGACCATTCCTCCCTGCTCACCTTTCCTAACTACTTTGACATGGTGGCTTTGGGCTCCTGAACCATCTCTCCAGGACATCCTTATTTTCTTTCCTAGCCTGAGTCTTTTTCAGCAAGGTTCTCAGATCTCTTGACCACACCTTTGCCTCAGCTTCAGAAATTTATAATCTCCTAGCCCCAAGCTCAGCCCACTCTGTAATGAAAACAAACAAACAAAAAAACAGCCAGCACAAACCTCAAAAGCAACTGACACAGCACTTTCCTTCCTGCCTGTGGTTTTTAAAAAGATCTCTATTGGTTGTTTTTTTTTTTTCTCAGTTTTTCCTCTTTTTTATTGTTTTTTAATTGAAGTATGGTTGATTTACAGTGCTGTGTTAGTTTCTGATTCAGTTACACATACACATTCAGTTACACATATATAGACACACATATGTGTGTCTATATAAGTATATACATATGTATTCTTTTTTTATATTATTTTCCATTATGGTTTATTACAGGATATTGAATATAGTTCCCTGTGCTATACAGTAAGACATTGTTTATCTATTTTATATATAGTAGTTTGTATCTGCCAACCCCAAACTCCTAATTTTTTCCATCTTTCCCCTTGGATAACCATAAGTTTATCTATGTCTGTGAGTCTAACTCTGTTTTGTAAATAAGTTCATTTGTATCATACTTTAGATTCTATGTATAAGTGATACATATGGTATTTGTTTTTCTCTGTCTGACTTACTTAGCCTGATAATTTCTAGGCCCATCCATGTTGCTGTAAATGGCATTATTTCATTCTTTTTTATGGCTGAGTAGTATTCCATTATCTGTTGGTTTTCATTTCAGCAGTTGTATCCTGCATTTTTATTGTTCTTTTTCCCCTGAGTCTATATTGATAATTCACTGAGCTTAAGGTTGTCTAATGTCCTCTGTAGACACAGCTTCAGCTTTCACTGGCTATGTAAGGGGTACTTCTATGGAGGGGATTCAGAGAAAGTTTGGGGCAGAGAAGGCTCCTCGTGACTGTGAGTGATAACTGAAGGTCTCTAAGACACTGATCAGTGCAGCGGGAAAAATGCTGGCCCTTGGCCTGTTTCCCATGCATATGAGCTCCAATCAGCACATGTACATGTTAATAAAGGTAGACTTATTCAGTAATGTTATATTCAAAATGAATTTACATTAAGAATTTTTTAAGTGATTTGATGGGTTCAAGGACAAGAATGTTATCTTATTCAAATTTTACTCCAAAGTACCTTCACTCTGAGCCTGCATAGAGTAAGGAGCCACTATAGCTTCTGGAATAAATTAATACATGCAAGGTCCTGTGTGAGATTTATAACACTCTCTGAAGGAGGTGTTGTAAACCACATCCATATATTAAATGTGAGAAATTCGAGATGTGAGCAAATGCAGGGTTGTAGAAATGCGCCCTGCCTTACCTCTAGTTCTAGGTCTTGTGTTCGATGATGCTTCTGGTGTGCTTGGCAGGCCCTATCAGGACTCTCATATTCTTTCTGCAAACATGTAGGAATTACAAGATCTGGATTTGGGATCAGATATAAAAACCCTACCCCAAAGAGTGGACTATCATGCAGTCCATAAGTGGTATTTAATTATTTTTCCAAAATTCAACAGCACGAGAAAAGACCTATGATGCAAATTAGCTGTAAAATTATCTGCAAAAACAGGCCAAGATACAAGCTAAAAAATTTACCTGCACATATGCCAAGCTATAGGCTATAAGGAGTAATGCAGTTATACTACCCCATGTGTGGGACACACACAAAAAAGTTTGGAAGGTAAGATATGAGACGTTTAATTCTGGGAGACAGTACAATAGACACTTAAAAAGATATATTTTTTGTCTGTACTTTCTTCTCCAACTTTCCTAAAAAATATATATACATGAATCATATTATTTTGAAATCATATTATTATGAATACATTTTAAATTATATCAGTTAAATCAAACATCAATAAATAAGGAATTATGTCAGCCTACCTCATCAGGCTATAGTGTTTGTGTGATTCACTGGTGAATCCCAATGCATGGATGAGCCCCAAGCATATAGTAGGTGCTAAATGCATATTTGCTGACTAAATGGATCATCAAAAACTATCCAAAATAAATGCAATTTTAATTTGTTTTTTAATTTGTTCAATCATTTAATATTTTATTTTAAATTAAAAGAGACAAATTTCATTTAACTAGAAATATTAATAAATTTGGTCTTCTTAATTAGACAGACTTCCATACACTCG